GGCAACCTGGTCCAGTGGAGGGTGTCCCTGCCCATGGTAGGGGCGGTTGGAACTACATAATCTTTGAGGTCCCTTCCAACCCAAACCATTCTATGATTCTATGATTTTTCTTTCACTTGTTTTAGCCTTGCACACAAGATGGAAAATGTCTCACTAAAGTGAGCAGGAAGAAAAGAAATAGACACAAGAAAATATACAGGATGCTACTTTACCTCAAAGAGATTCTTCAGTGATAACTGGTTGACTCTGAGATTAGCAGGCAATGCTTTCTTCTCAGACAACAACAACAGACAAGACTGGGAAAAAAAAAAAGCCAAAACATTAGTGATCTTATAAGCATACTTAAAAACTTTTTTTGCTGCCTCATCAGATCTTGTAGGAAAACAAACAAGGGCTAGCAACATTTCAGTTCTTTTTTTAAGATTGTAACAGATTACTGAATCTCTCTTTCCATTTTTCAGATGAATTATTGTAATATACAGTGGACTGTGGAAAGCTATGACCGATGAAAGTTTCTTCAGAAATAAAAACCAGGTCAGGCCCTAAAAGTCTCTCCAATACACCTTGAAAGTGACCCTTTGCTTTAGGAATGGACCTCATAGGGATGAGACTCCTCAGCTGCACCAACATCCTGAGCAGAAAGCAAGAAATCCATACTGTATCTTTTTCCATTTTCTCAGTTTCCCTAAAAAGTTTACCTTCCTCCTTGAAAACCCACCTAGTTTCACCAGAGGACAAGGGAAGAACTACGGATGTCATCTACTTGGACTTCCGTAAGGACTTTGATACAATTCCACACAGATTCTTGGCTCTAAATTGGAGAGAGATGGGTTTGATGGATGGACTGTTGGAAGGGTAAGGAATTGGCTGGATGGCTGCATCCAAAGAGTTATAGTCAATGGCACAGTGTCCAAGTGGAAACCAGTAATGAATGGTGTCCCTCAAGGGTCCATACTGGGACCAATACTATTTAATATCTTCATCAGTGACAGAGACAGTGGGTTTGTGTGGTGCGCTCAATCATGCAGCAAGCTGTGTGGTGTGGTCGACACGCTGGAGGGAAGGGATGCCATCCAGAGGCACCTTGAGGACTGGGCCCATGAGAACCTCATGAAGTTCAACAAGGCCAAGTGCAAGGTCCTTGGCCAATCCAGGGCAATCGCCAGTATCAATACTGACTGGGGGATGAACGAGTTGAGAGCAGCCTTGTGGAGAAGGACCTGGTGATACTGGTGGATGAAAAATTGGATACAAGCTGGCAATGTGCACTTCTGGCCCAGAAAGCCAACCGCATCCTGGGCTGCATCCAAAACAGCATGGCCAGCAGGTCGAGGGAGTTGATTCTGACCTACTCCTCTGCTCTCGTGAGACCCCACCTGGAGTACTGCATCCAGCTCTGGGGGCCTCAGTACAAAAGTGACATTGAGCTGTTGGAGAGAGTCCAGAGGAGGGCCATGAAGATGACTGGAGGGCTGGAGCACCTCTCCTATGAAGACAGGCTGAGAGAGTTGAGGTTGTTCAGCTTGGAGAAGGTCTCTCCTCTCCAGGGAGGCCTTATTGCAGCCTTTCAATATATAAAGGGGGTTTATAAGAAAGACTTTTTAACAAGGTCTGTAGTGACAGGAAAAGAGGCAAAGGTTTTAACCTGAAAGAGGGTAGGTTTAAACTGGATATAAGGAAGAAATTTTTTTACGACACAGGTGGTGATACACTGGAACAGGTTGCCCAGAGAAGATATGGATGTACCATCATTGGAAGTGTTCAAGGCCAGGTTGGATGGGGCTTTAAGCAACCGATCTAGTGAAAAATGTCCCTGCCTGCAGTAGGACAGAGGGGTGAATGGGGAACGTGGGGCTGTGGAGGGAGGCATTGCTCCCTCCTCCTTATGCTTCTCCCCTGCTCCAGCATGGGTCCTCCAAGGGCTGTGGTTCCTGTCAGGAGCCTGGTCCTGCATGGTCTCTCCACAGGCTGCAAGGCAACCCCTGGAGTACCTTCTCCCCCTCCCTGCTCTCCTTCTCCAACTGTGGTGCTCGCAGGGCTGTTTCTCTCACTTTTCCTCCCACCCCACCTCACTCTGCCAGGCAGACTCTTGCCTTTTCTTAAATGTGCTTTCCCCAAAGGGCTACCATCCTGGCTGAGGGGCTCACCTCTGACCTGTGGTGGGGCCACTGGAGCGGGCTGGAACTGGCCTCTCCTCACAGAGGCCCCTGCAGCCCCCACGGCCAGCACCTCATCACCAACACCCAATACAGGTATAATCATGATGATCAATTTTTTTTTTTTTTTATACAGTCAGTATAAAACAGAGGATTAAAATAATTTCAGGTGATTCACCTTCTGATTTTTCTAAATGATCTAGTTTTGTTTAACAACCATGTACTTCCATTCTGAGGTGCTCCTTTATGTGTCTTTCACAGACAGCTTCAAAAATCCAACTTGTCATACAGAAGGAAAAGTAAAAGGGCCCACAAATAAGCATGTATTTTTTCCCTCTGATTTCTTTCAAGAATAATAACTCTAGATGGCACTGTAATTAGAGACAACAGCAACAGACAAGCAGGATTTCAAGTTCATTGTATACCTTCGAGAAATTAATTTCAGAAATTATTTATTATT